GCCGCGCTCCCGCAGGCGGCTGGGAGTCAGGATCTGGCCCCGCAGCCCCTTCTGACCCCCGGACCGGGCTGTTGGCGTCAGCGCGGTGGTCCCCTGGGGCTGGCGCGGTCCAGCTGCCCCCCCCCGGCATGGCTCCGTTCCCAGGGCCTCTTTGCCCTGTTGTGGTGCAGGATCTGGCCGTGGGGCCCAGCTCCCAAATGGCGGACCCCATACAGCCACGAGCTCCCTGCTCTGCCCAGGCGAGATGTGACTTCCCCCAGACGAATCCAGGACCTCGGGGTGGCCTTGGTGACGTCCCCAAACCCGGGCTGAGCATCCTCGGTCTGGCTTCCCACCAGCCGTCACCTTCCTGCCAGCCCTCCATCATGTGTCACCAGGGCCGGGCCCAGCACATCTACCCTGAATTAATCTAATTACTTGATTTCCCAGCCAGAGCTCGCTCCATAAAGTCCTTGGACAGAGACAGCATCTGGCTCAAGGGCCAGGGTGTAAAAAACAAACAACAAAAAAACCCAAAAACGCAGAAAAAGCGGGAGGCGAGGCGCAGCGGAGCTGCCTCTAACTGCCTGCATCCTTTTAAAGTGACCTGGGGGAAAAATAAAGAGGCTAGAAATGCAAAGAATCCAGCAGTCAGAGTTTTCTTTATATTCCTCTCAGTCACATTTCCACATCCATGGGTAATTTATAACCCGCTTAACCCCTTCCCTGCCACCCCCCCCCAGCACAACCCTTTCGCTCAAGAGCATCCTCGCAGCGGGCGGCCGCACCTTCCCGCCCTGTTTGCTTTGGGAAGCACAAAAAGTCCCGCAACGGAGTTTGCTGATCTCTAGAGGGGGGAAAAAAAAATGCGGTTGATGTCGAGGGGGTGCTTGAGCACGAGGGATGGGCTCTGCGGAGTCGGGACACGGGGTGACGGGTCCCCTGCCCGTGGGGAGACCGCGGGGACGCCCCGGCCAGTGTGGGGGGAGCCTGCGGCTTCACAAAAGGCTCCAGAAAAAAAATGTAGGTCAGTAGTGATAAATGCAAAAGGCATCAAGTGTTTCTGGAGAGGGGTGGGAAGCGGAGGGAGGGCCGGGAATTACCCGGCAGTAAATATTTGCCAACTTGAATATTACTGCCTGGGAAGGGGTTTTTCTGTAAAAAGGTGAGTGGATGGAGCGTGGGACGGCGCCAGGCGCGGTGCGGGCAGGTGTGGCAGGAGCCTTGCCCGGCTCTGCCAGCGCTCAGTCCCGGCTCCTGGCACAGCGCTCCCGGCGCTCCCGGCACTTGATCTGGTGGGTTTCGGTCCCTCTGGGGGTTGGGGCTCCGTCTCTGTCCCTCCCGGCCAATGGAAACCTCACCTGCGGCGCTGGGCTGTGATTTACAGTGACAGCCCCCAATCTATCCCATTTACTTGGCCATTAGTCACTGGTGCCGGACACGATGCCGAGGGGCTGGACGGGCTCCAGGAGGGGGAAGGGGGGAATGGAGCCGACCTGGCAGCCCCGCCAGCCCGGCCGGAGCACATTTTCTCCCGGCCCTGGTTTGATTAACAAGATGAATAAGCTGGCGGAGCACAGCGGGGCGAGGGGAGGCCCCACTCCCTGCTCCCGGGGGGGGCGGGCACGGGGCTGCGCTCCCCCGGCTGTCCCCGAGGGGATCCGGCCACCCCTACCCCTCTCCCGTTGCCCCGGGGCGTGGAGCACCCCTCAACCTGAAGGGACCGGGAGACCCCCCCCCCCCCCCTTCTGCTGCGTTCCCGCCC